AAAAAAAAAACACACTCTCTCTCTCTCTCTCTCTCTCTCTCTCTCTCTCTCTCTCTCTCTCTCTCTCTCTCTCTCTCTCTCTCTATATATATATATACACACACACACATATATATAAATAAAATTTATTTATTTTTTCTGGAATTTTCAGAAAAGTCCACTTTCATCTCTGTATAAATTACATAAAAAACAGGAACGAAAATAACATTTGTCACCCACATAAAATCTGAATATGTTGTTCTCTTGAGGAAATCAATCTGTCCGTTCATCAGTTTTCTATACTGTTTATCCTCACTGGTGTTGCATTTGAGGCTCAACTCCTCTGAGCTGACTTTGGGCGAGAGGTGAGGTACAACCTGGCGTGTAATGGTTAAACAAAATTCTAAATAGTAGAGCTGAACGATTCAAGAAAATAATAATTGCATTTTCCCCCTCCAATATTGCAGTTGCTATTTAATATTCTTTTAATGATTGTGTTTTTTTCTGAAATATATGGTGGCAACGCAAAAAATATAGAGGACCAGACTTGTCCATACTCCTTGAGCTGAAGTCCACAAAGATTTATTTGTTTCTTGTGTTTGAATTTGGAGATACAGTTCCAGAGTGTTTTACTTTGGTCCTCAATATTTGTGAATAATAATGCCTGAACAGAAAGGCCTTGAATGACAGGAAGGTTTTTCCTGGTCTCACATCTGAATATCTTACTAACTGCCTGGAAAACTATACATTAAAAAATGTCTTGAGTGCTTTTCCTAAGAAAGTGATGAGGATTGGAAATGTACCAGAAAGAGATTGATTTCATTTTGTGTTATATTGTTGTATTCCATAATTTCCTGACCACTCTTTATTTATTAATAATCTCCCAAGTGATGACCAGTTGGAGGATTCAGACAGCGATGAGCATTCCCGGTCCGAGTCAGTCACAGGTACTCTACCTGCACACACAGAATTTGGTTTTGTAGTTTTATTTCCATTCATAAGCTGTTGCCCTCAATGTTGGCCTTATTAGTCTAAATTTGAAGATATGTCTGTACTTTTTTAACATATTTTGCCTCTGTTACAGGCCAACCGTCCCAGTGGGAGAGCATGGATCTGAGCCTAGGCGTGACAGCGCTCAGTGTGCTCCAGCAGCCAGAGAAGCTCCAGTGGGAGGTGGTGGCCAGTGTGTTGGAGGACACAGTCAAAGACCTGGAGGAGCTTGGTGCCAATCCTTCACTGAATCAAGCCAAGACCCACAACCAGGCCAAAGCAAAGGAAAAGCTCCCCGAGCAGCACAACATTCCTTTCCCCTGCTTGCTGGCTGGAGGCCTGCTCAGTTACCGCACAGCATTTAGCAACTCCACAGCTGGAGCTCACCCCACAGTCCCACCTTCAACTCGCAGATTGTCTGATGGTCCTTGTAGAACTCAGGGCCCGGAGCCCTTCCAAGCGGGACCTATCCAGGACCAAGGTCCCATGGAAATAGATACGTGTAATTCCCAGACTGCTGCCCAAGAACAGTGCTTTTCTAACTTGGGAGGTTCTCAGCCTCCAAGTCCCTCCTCTGCGCCATCTGTGCACAGGACTATACCCGTGCTGTTATTATACAGTATCAGAGAGACAGATGACAAGACCTCAGGGCAGGTGTTTGCTCAGATGAACAACCTAATGAGCAAGGGTCTCCACGACGAGACCTTCACTGTGCCGCAAATTATCGAGATGGAGTTTGACTCACACGAGCAGCTCCTTCTCCAGGATCCTCCCATCACGTATATCCAACAGTTTGCTGACTCTGCAAACAATCTGGCTGGCTTTGATGGTCAGATGGACAAATGGAACACATTAGCTGCTGCTACTGCATCTGTCCCGCCTCGACCTGGAACGCTAGTACAGTGTTTGAGGTTACCCAAACAGCTCGAAGAGGAGAATCTTTGTGTGGACTCAATTACACCATGCTGGGATGGTGTGCACCTTTTAGTTGGGCTGCAACCATGCAACGCAGAATCTCTGAGTGCGGCGAACCAGGTGGAAGCCCTGAACAATCTGAATCGCCTGCACTCTGCTCTGTGCAACCAGCAAAAGAGGGACACCCTTCATCCAGTTGCTAATGGAGTGGAAGCTAACCACCAAGAGGGCACACTTTCCCAAGCACCCTTCATCCTGCCTTCAGGGGACCACCAGCAGACGTGCCCAAGCGGCGGCGGCTATCTTGCACTCTATAAGCTCAACTACTCTACCCGTATTGTAACCTTGGATGAGGAACCTGTTAAGGTGCAGCAGATATGTCAGCCTTGCGATGCAATTACTTCCCTCATACTGCTTCCTCCAGATGTGCTTGATAGCAGGGAAGATGACAGTGAGGAAACTCCAGAGGAGCCTCCTTCTGGTTCAAAAAATGGCACTCCACGGTTTGGAATGCCCTTGGCAGGGTCTGCTGCACCTTTAACTCGGACTGCCTGTGGGACAACCACAAGCAGCAGCAGTGCTACCGCTACCAGTCCCTCTGCCAATCATAAAGAGTCCAAGAAACAAGAAGTGGCAGGCCTGGGCCATTTAGTGGTGACTACACAGGGTGGGAATATTATGATCCTGGACCTGTCGACATTGGAGGTTCTAACCAAGGTGGAACCCCCTAAGAAAGAGGGAGCAGTGGAAGAAATAGACCCATTTGTGTCTGTAACTTATTGCTCTGGGACTGACCGCCTTTGTGCATGCACTAAAGGTAAGTGTTTAAATTTCATCAGCATCACTGCTGATCTCTGGCAGTAAAAGGCCATTCTTTTGTGTGTGCTTTAGGAAGGTTGATAAGAAAGTGTTACGACTGCACAGTTATTCCCCAATATTTGGAATTGTGAAAATGCCGGAGTTCTTTTGATAATCAGATTTTGTTTTCCCGACCATTTTCACATCGATGCAGTATTTTGAGGGAGCGGGAGAGGGAGGGAGAGAGAGGAAGGGAGGTCAGAGATGGGGAGAGATGCAACAGCTCTGATCGCAAGCTGCAATTGCAGACTGCTGACTGCTAACAATTTCCGGTGATGCAGGTCATGCGCCACCGTAGGTTTAAGGTGACCTGCTTTTTAAATTATATTTTTTCAATACTTTTTTTTCGTGAAAGTGAAACAAAGGCTGCGTAGGGTGTGCTGTCAGAAAAATTTAAGTAGAATGATTAAATGAAGCATCTGCGTATGTTAGTATTAATTGTAATCTTTCTTTACAGGTGGAGAGCTTCATTTCCTTCAAATTGGAGGAGTTTGTGATGATATAGATGATGGAGACATGTTTATTGATGGCCCCATTTCTAAAGGGGCAGAACTGTTGCTGGAGTGGGCCAGGCCTTCCTCTAACCCTTCTAGTCCTGGGATCTCAGGTATAAGTTACACCCTAAATGACATTTTTTGTTATTTTGCCTGATTTTCCACACATACTTGATTATTGCACAGGTGTAGAGCTCCTGGTGGACCAACCGCTGACGACAGAGAGCCTAATGTCTCTGGTGGAGCTGACGCGCTTTGAGACATTGACTCCCCGCTTCTCAGCCACTGTGCCACCATGCTGGGTCGAAGTACAGCAAGAACAGCAGCAACGGCGCCATCCACAGCATCTCCACCAGCAGCACCATGGGGATGCAGCTCAGCACACCCGCACCTGGAAGCTTCAGAGTGATAGGTTTGCAACACTGGCAACTTGGTATGACCAAATTAATTTATCAGCAGGTGATGTAGTGGTGTTTGTGCGTTGTGTAGTTCCAGCTGGGATGAGCATGTCTTCGAACTGGTGCTGCCGAAGGCCTGCATGGTCGGCCATGTGGACTTCAAGTTTGTCCTGAATGCCAACATTGTCAACATTCCTCAGATACAGATAACTTTATTGAAGAATAAAGCACCCGGCCTAGGAAAGGTCAATGGTAAGGCCAACATTTTGTTTTTTCCTAGACTCATTTTGTAAAATTAAAAGAAATTAGTTACATTTGACAACCCTAATTGACAATCAGTGGCCCCGCTCATTTTGTAAAATTAAAAGAAATTAGTTACGTACATTTGACAACCCTAATTGACAATCAGTGGCCCCATGTTTGTGGGAATATTTAGTAGGCATGCACCGCAATGTAAATTCTTGGCTGAAAAAGAACCCTGAAAATGGCCAAACCAACCCAGAAAAATTGAATCATCAAAAGAAATGTCATTACCTTAAAAGAATATATATATATTCTAAGTTGGGTTGTTTTCTGCGCGCTGCCAAATCTATCTGTATGTAAAATTTCAAAGATTAATTGATTTATATGAGACCAGCATTATTAGACAGCTCTGTGGTCTTTTTAATTGTAGTCACTTAGGTAAAGCAATGAAACGTGGTAAATCTCGGAACAACAAAAGTCATCATTGAAACCAGCGAATATCAAATTGAAATTTTCCATGAAATAGTAATATCAATGTTGGTGACTATATAATGAATATGATTAGTGTGCAACATTTTTGTTATAGGTGCCATCCATAGAAAACTAATTAGGAGTCGAGAATGAACAACCACTCCACGAGTTGATAAAATACATGGCAAGGAAAAAAATACCACCGTTACAAGACCATGATAAATTCATGGAAGGATCATTAGAAGTGACGGAAAATATGAGCCATTGAGGCAGGTCAGAGTAACATCACTAGGGACCTGGCAAACTATCCCAAAAATGTCTGTAGTTTGACCAGTTTACTTGAAATTTAGCAGAAGAAATGACATAACATGAACATTTGGATTTTTAAATCGGCCTTGCCGTACTTTCCGGACTGTAATATGCTAGCTACTGTTTCCCCCACTCTTTAAACCCTGCGTCTTTTAATGTGACAAGGTTTATTCAGGAATTTTTACTGATAAGCTCAAAGCAGTCAATAGATTTACCCATGTCATCACGTCTCACCACGCACGTCACGGTGGAGTCTGCCCTCAAGCTGAATGTTCATCAGCCATTTGCGGTTGGAGTACGCATGCATGAGGGTGGGGCAGACTGCCTCAAGAGAGAAATGCGTAAGTTCATATGTTTAGTGAAGCAGCTGTTTAAGAAAAAATTGAGAGCGAAGATACATATCTTGAGTATAATGAGTATCGGGAACGAGTGCCATTAATCTAGCCCTTTTTACTGTGTGACACCCGTCTCTCCGTTGCTTGTTTGGCGACCAGCTCCCATCCTCGCTTGCAACAGATGAAAGGGCAGCAAGTCTGGCCTTGCAGCAATATCCCCTCGCGGACTTAAGTCCGTGCATCCCCTGCGTCTCCCCAACATGTAACAAATTAGTTTCCAAAAGCAGAAGTCCTACGTGGTGGAGCTTGTCGCCGAATTTCAGGGATGGCAATTTTCCGCGGATACGCGGAAATCCGCCGTTTTATTTCTTAAATTGATCATTTTTGTGAATCGTCTAAATCCGTTGAGAAAATTTTAGGGGGGGTCAGGTACCTTATCGTCGAGTTTTCACGAGCTCTCCCGA